AAACTTACAACAAATTTTAGTTTTAAAAACGAATTTAAAACTAAGTAATTTCGAAAGAAACATTAGATGTTCAAAAGTTAAGTTTCTAAAATTAATAAATTCGAAATTTTGTAAATCAAGTATGAACAGACAAAAATGAAGATAATAATAAAGTTTTTATTATTTTAATAGAAGATTTCCTACGCATGTGGCATTATTATATCGAAGAAACTCAACCAACCATTTTCATTTTAAATTAGTAATAACGAGGTGAACATAAAAAAAATTGTGAAAAAGGAAATTCAATAAGATTTTCATACTTGTTTTTCAGTGAATCTTCATTTATACAAGCTCATAATTATTAGAAATTTACAATTATAATACAGAAATATTTAACAGCTTTTCCACCTATATTCTTTTAAACCATTTAAAAAAATTAAAAGTATGCAACTGTTTTTGTGGTCTTGTCTTGTTAGTATTGCAATAATTTTGATTGTTTTTTAACAACTGTGAATGAAGCATGCTTGAATTGATTTCCCAATGAGTTGCATGGAATGTAAAAATTGCATCCAAAAGATATGATCTTTGAGTGGTGATTCCGAACCAATTAATTAAAAAGTCAAAATATTTATAATATTTAAGTTTGATACTTACTTTGAAGACAAACACGAGAAAAAAGGTACCATATCCATCGCTGCATCTTAATTGAAGCTATAAAAATATACGTATCATTAATAAAGAAAAAACATTTTATTAAAAACTATTATTTATTTATATGTAGTTGTTTTTTAATGCTTGAATTCTTAAAACAGGACATGATGAATTTAAAAAACGTAAAAGACATCGCTGTTTCGTAAACGAAGTCTATATAAGTATTATACAATCACAAACAGCTTGTAATTAGTTCCATGCACGTAGTTAAATATTCATGTTTTAATTGTGACCAAAAATAATCTAATTAGGTATGAGAATAACAAGGGATGAATAATCTAACAGCAGTGAGTTTGTAGACTTGGCAAAAATTTAAGCGACGCACTGTGTCTCATTCGATTCAACAGAAATCATCACGCATTTAAACCAGTGAGGTACTTTAGCAGGCAATACCTCACTGGTATAAATAGCTATGTCAAAAGTGTAAATAATCACAAATTTTTTGTACGTAAAATCCATTCAACTTCGGAACTATTAATTCTTCTGAGACGCATTATATTTTACTCAATTTAGTGTTACATAGGAAACAATACTTTACTTGTCTAGATAGCAATATTAGATCCGTAAATAGGTGCAAGTCAAGACATTGCATTGTTTGTACATAAAGCAATTTTAACTTCTATTATTTCTCTCATCACGCTGAATTTGCTAACTTTCAATTTAGCGTCAAAAAACGAAATGGAGCTCATATCCTAATCGTCTAGTCATGTAACTTCTCCATTTGACCTCTTTATCATCCGGCTACCCCGTTTCCTCTCTCGCGTCAAATCCCGTCTGTTAGATCATGCATTTTTTTACACTTACTAAGAGAAGGATACTTAAAAAGTTTTCCATTGATAAAAATTTCTTCTAAATGCCAGGTTTAAACCCCATTTTCACTATATCATATTTTACATTGAAACTCCCTTACACGTGAAAAATTAGGTCTAACACTTTCCATTGACAGCAGAATAGAAATAGTCTAATGTTCCGAGAGAATAGCTAAGTCTAATAATTTGAATGCCACCCCCTTTTGCTTAACCATAAAAGGAAAGTCATTAAGACTGACAGCTGAATAGAAATAGTCTAATGATCCGAGAGTACAGCATAGGCTAATGATCTGAGCTCCCTCCGCATTTTCTTTTGTGAAAAGAAACGTCACGAACAGCTTCATCGGCTAGCCGAATAGCAATTGTCTAATGATCCAAGAGTAATAGTCTAATAGCTTCAGCATTTTTAAAAATAGTTTTCAAATGTTTAAAAAAAGAGAGTGAGAGAGAATAAAGTTTCAACTGAATAATTACTTGATAAAATACTTAAAAAATGACCATGCTGGATAAGTTATATTTCACTGTGTGAAAATTTTTAGAAAAGAATCTGTTACTATGCATGTTCAAATGCCCCCCCCCCCTCCAACGATCGAAAAAAAACATAAGTTATTTCCGAACGAGCAACAAAATTGCGCTTCTTTCAACTACTGGTAATTGAATAGTAGAATGTTGGCATAAGTCTAAAATGTAGAATTTTTTAATTCCTAAAAATAAGATTTTCAAACCAATTGTATCATTGCAAAAATGTAGTATCTAAAAAAGTGTCTTTCCGCATCTGCTTTACGTATAAAAAAAAAACTAATAACCCCTACCATTGTCATTCAAACAGCAATAGTCTAATGATCTAACTGAGATCATTCGTTAGTCTTAAGATCTGAGAGACTCTGTCATCTGCTTTACGTGAACCGAAATAAGCTAATAACGTCTCTATTGTCATCCTAACAGCACTAGTTTAATGATCTGAGACTGTTGGATAGAGTTATGATCTGAATGCCACCTGTATCTGCTTTATGCGAAAAGGAAAGTTACAATCACCTTCCATTGTCAGCCGAATAATATTAGTCTAATAATCTGCGACCATTAAATAGTCTGACCACGCTTCTGCTTTACGTGAGCAGAAAAGTTACCAATACCTTCAATTGTTCTGCGAATAGCATTAGTCAAATGATCTGTTAGCATTGAATAACGGATAATAGCATTGAATAGCATAATGTATGCGAGCAGAAAGTCATCGATTTAGTTAATTAATGATTCTTATTTCTAATTACGATTATAAAAGCGTATCCAATTTATGTGGCTTGTATGGAATAGATCTGTCATTAATGTCAGTCGCTTGTAGAACTATCGGAAGTCATATATTTGAATTTTTATTTTTTTAAATTTAATTTGCTGTTTTTTTTTGCTAAAGAAGGAAAATTTATGTTAAACATGATATTTTAAAAAGAAGGATTTCTAATAAAGTTTATTTTTATCTACATAACTTAAATAAATTCAGTTATTTTCTAAAATATAGTTCCCGTAGGAGAAGTGAATTCAGAAAAGAAATGGTTATGGTTGAAATGGATTTTCGTAAAAAAACTGCAAATAATTTATAATATTAAATAAAGCGAATTCGGAGTAAAATTATTTTTATTATAAATCAAATCGAATTTTGTTTTTTCCTCGTGTATAAATAAAAAAGGCTACAATTTCGTTTTTGAATATTCCAAATTTATTAAATTTTATCTGTATTTATTAAGATAAGGAAACTTTATATATTCAGTATCTTAAAAAAATAATATACATAAATGGAGTTATGACGTACTAGATCTAACATGATTTTATTGTGATATTTTAACTTTAATATTAAGCTTTAGCGTAATTCAGGTACAAAACAACTTTAATTTTAACGGATGTAAAGCTGAACAATTAGGTCTATGCTACACTATTAAAAAGGGGACAAAAAATATTTTTTTTAAAAATCTATGTCATGTCATAAACATGAAAACACTTCCTGGTGTTAATTTATATTTATTTTTCTGACAATTTGACAATTTTGTCATAATTAATTCTTTCATTAAACTGCTCGTAAAATAGGTAAAAATTGCATTACAATATAAGCGTACATTAATTGAAAAAATACATATAAAAAAATACCACTCCTTATATCCGTAGCGTTAATAATGAGCGTTGATAATAAATGTTTCTCTTTTATTTCTAAATAAAATAAATTAGTTAAAAATAACTTTTTCTGAAAGTTTAGAAAGAGTAATATACAATTTTTTAAAAAAAATTTTTCCTTTTGCTTGATTTGTAGGTTTAACATTTTCTTTTAAAATACAATTTACCACGCTTTAAGTTTTATTCAAAAGCGTTAATTTGGTCCTACATTTATATGTTAAAATCATGATACATTTATAAAATTATCGTTCTAAAATCATAACGGTAACTAAAAACACTTATTTTTGTGACTGTAAAAGTGATTATAATTATATCTAGTGCATCATTAGCTATGTCAATGCCATAGCGATACAGGAAAAGAATAAAGATTAGGAAATTGATGCTTAGTACAAAGCGAAAATTATATTTTATATTATATCAATACTTGCAATTTCTTCTTTGAATTCTATGCTTGTTCAGAAGCAACTGAAATTATTATAGCATTTTTTTATCGTAACAAGTTTTTAAACAAGAAATGCAAACAGCAGATATGATAACTTACCAATAAAAATACGACTCTAAGAAATTTGCTGACATACAGTAAACGACATATTTTTTTAGGAAAACATTTATATTAATTGACTGTAAAGACACTTTATTTATTCAAAGTAACTTTTTTGGTATGTTTTGAATATATATTAGTCAATAACTATTTTTTTCTTCAAATTATAGAGGTGAAATTTACTTTTAGAAAAAAATAATGCCATTTAAAAGCTTGTTTTATTTTAACCTTTTTTAAGTAAAAGAAAACCCCTTATGAAAGCGTAATAAAACATGTCTACATAAAAAACGTTAAATTACATTGATATCTCTTATACAAAGTTTAAAATTATTACGATTTGCAAATATTATGTAACTTAGATAAATTGATCCATAAAAGTCGATATCACTACAAAAAGTCGATTTTACTCAATAGTTTTCTCGATAAAAAAAAAAAACAAAAAAAACACGCTAATTACGAAATTAAAGAAATAACTCGATGCCTTAAGTTTGAAAGTATGCATAAAAATTGAAAAAAAACCATAATAAACATGAACATGTAGAAAATAGATTTATAGTAGAAAAGAAAAGTTTTACTGTAAAAAATTATCTTAAAATGTAAAACAAGCACTGAAAAATAAAATCAAACAGATCACTGAAAACTACCCTTTAGCAATCGCCACTCAAAACCCCCATCATTAACGCATGTTTCCATGTCTTATACCAACCCCTAAATGTTTTTGTTTAAAATTATTATTATTATTATTTGAGTTATTCAACAACCAAAATGTGTGCAAATTCCACCCTATCTTCAGGCCGATGTCATGTCCAATCGTTGGTTTTTTCGTCGACCAAACAAGGATCCTTTTCGGATGACCACTTCACCACCAAAGTGGGTGGTGGACAGCTCTTCTTGTGGGGGTGACAAGAGGGATAGGGAGAGGTGTCTCCCGCCCACTACATTGCCGAGAATCGAACTGACCGCTTCAAGTCCGACGGCGGGGCATGTGCCCCCGCTGTCGCCAGTGAAAAATCTCGGGGTGCCTTCCTTAGTGTTGCAGACAACGGATAGTTTGGATAATATAGCGCCGCATATTCCAAGGTGATTGCTTTACATTTATGTATTCAACTGTAGCTTTATTTCATTGAAAAGTTTCTTGATTTCTTTTTTTTTTTTTTTCGTTTATAGTAAAATAATTTGTGTGCATTAATTTTCGACAAGGAACTCTTCAATAAAAAAAGATTCTGCTCTAAAAAATGCCTAAATTCGTATTTTAACATTTTTCTTAATTCTAGCAAGTACTTCAAACATTCATACAAAGCAATTAAAAATAAAACTGCAAATTCAGGGCAGCAACATTATCCATATTTCAGCCTTTTGACATATATAAGACACCCGCCTCCCTTTTGTATATTTTTTCTGCGCTCTAATTACAAGCAAAAATATATTTTGGTATTTCTAAATTATAAGAAATAGTCTGATAATTACTGAAAAAAATATCTGATTATCGGAATTATGTTTGTACTGAAATATAAAAAATTGTTAGAAAAATACATCATTTATATTCAAAAATGCGATTAAACAAATAATTGATTTTATAAATTAAAAAAATTTCAATGATAAAAATCTGTTTCTCATAAATCCAAATTGCTGCAAATAAGTGCAAATTTGAAACGTTATTGTTTGGACCTGAGCCGTGTTTGGAAGATTTTACCTTTAACTTACAAAAAGGCACCGATGCTTCATGCTGTATATCATAGTCATTAATTATTTAACTGCGAAATATAATATTTTTTACTTATTTTGTCCTAAATTAATTCCAAATAATGTTAAGTGGAGGAAATGTTTTATAAAAATTCTGTGTCAAAAGGCTAAAGAAATAGTCGCACTTAAATGCCGTAATATTCTTTAATTGCTATATTTGCATTGTTATAACTTCTTTACATTATAACGATTTTAATTTTAAAAATAAAAGTTCATGTTTTGCTAATTTTCTTATTTTTAGGACAATTTTGCACTTCTAATATTTTCTTCCTTATTATTTAGTACACTATAACCATAATTATTCAACTATATATTTTATTTTATAACCGTCGTTGAACAACCGACTTAATTTTTTTGGATTTACGTCTACTAATGTTCAACTCCGTAGCCTTTTAATTTTGAAGACAAGGGAACTTCTGTATTAAGTATTGGGAGAAATTTTCCTTCGTGAAGGACTTTTTTAAGAAACTAACTAGCATTTGCTCTACATGGAGAGAAAAACGAAGAAACCCTCCCACGGTTAACCTGATGACAAGGGGACTCTAACCTATGATCCATCTACCACTGAGGATATTTTACGGCAGCACTGTGGTCAGTGCGAGCTGGGTGCGAAGCTCTTATCCTCCAGTCATCGCTTGGATAAGAACCCGGTTCACCACATTGGAAGGTGAACGCTCTATGCTATATAATATATAATGCTATATAATATGCTATATAATATGCTATATATCTTAATACTATATAATATATAATTGAGAGCGAGTCCCCACCGCTCTCAATTATATATTAAGCTAATACAAATATTACTCTAATCATCCTTAGTAAATAGTTTAAGCTAAAACAGATCTAAGTTTCACATAAATTAAAATTTAGCCTACCAAAACAGTAACAATTCATTTGTATTCCTTAAAATATATTCAAATATTATTGAATATATTTTTTTTTACTCAATAATTAAATATCTCCTTTAATTTTTCTGCCTGAAAATTTAAAATTTTTGCAGAAAAAAATCGATAAAAAAAACACTTTAATACTTAAGTAATAATTATAATAAGATAATCTTTATTAATTTTAGTTTAATAACTTCATTTTTATTAATTAATGAATCTTCGTACATATAATTGATAAAAAATTTTCAAAAAAATATATCACTACCAAACCAAAGCATACTCAAACATCTTAAAACACCTATTTTATTTATTTTATACTTCAGAATGCTTTTTTCATAATGAAATAACATATGATATGCATATTAAATCAGTTTGCTTATATTTTCGTTCATGAATTTGTATTTTTTTCTTTACTAAAATTTTATTAATTTGTAAACAGTGTTAAAATTTTTAACTCTGTTTACTTATTAATTACTAAATATTAAATTATTCTAAAACGTATATTATACTTAACGCATATTAGACTTTTGAAAAATCCGAAATGAATGCTTTGTAGATAATTGATTTTAATAAATATTGTTTTTAGTGCTAAAATCTATTTTACGGCTTTTTCAGTTATTTTTCTCCAACATCAATGTAACACTTCTTCAACAATTTTAAAATTCGTATCAAACTGCGATCAAACGGCTTAGTACCTTAAAATAACGTTTAGAGATCAACTTATATTTTTGCCACAATGAACAATAACTGTCTTTATTCTTTTTAATAGGTAAATTACACAAAGCTTCTGCAGATAAATATTTCAAACAGCAGAGTTCACTCACGGGGCGGGAAAAAAATACGGTTTAGCGTTACTGCGCAAATTTAGGGCAACCTAATTCAAATAAGCCCAGGTTAAACCATATTATGTCAAAGTAAATGTCAATAACTACAAATTTGAACAATAAGTAGTCCCAAAATAAAGTGGTAGCAAATTTAAACCATATTACGGTTAACACGATCCAAAATTTCTAACTTCATTTGGATGTAATTAATCATTTTTTTTTTTGTCGTAAGCCTGATTTAGGCAGTGGGGTTGCGATTGTTCCTGTTTTTCAGTGGCGCCATCTATGGCCAGGAATTCGACTTCTGCCACGCCGTTCACGCAACCACAACCCGTTTAAAGGGCGGGACACATTCACACACAAAGGAGAAAGGACATTTGGAAAGGACACACACAGAGAGAAAAAAACATCCATGCCTTACCCGGGATTCGAACCCAGGACCTTTCTGATACAAGAACAGTTCCCTGCCCCCTACACAGACCGGTCGGCATCATTTGTAAAATCATTTTGAGTAAATTATAACTGATTTAAAAAAATTTTTGAGCAGAAGACATAAGTTGCCAGTAAGAGAATATACACTTCAAATGTGTGATAATTCATTACTGAATTGGTTTAAGATACATTAAATTGAAATTATGATCTGTGTATACAATTTTTTAAATCTAATTTAAACTTAAATATAAGAAGAATTTTATCAGTATAGTTTTCTTTTTCTAGTGTCGAAAAGACATTTTATTGCTATAAGCTCCACCTGTTTTGAGAGTAATTACTACTCCTCTACTTGCTACACTTTACTACACTTTAAATAATTCTGAATAAATTCAATTTTATATTTATTTCCAATGTAAAAAATATAAATTTTTTATTTATTTAACCAAAACAAAACTAAATATACATTAAAACATAAGAAATTCTTTATAAAATTCCTTAAAGCATCATTCCAGGTACATTTATTTGTAGTTCAAGTATTTATTTACGTGATATTTCCATCAAAAAGTTTTCTTTACTTTCGTATAACAAACGAAGTTTCAAAAAAGTGTAGTTTCATGAAATTTCAAGTAGATATTGGATGATAATATGTGGCTTGCCTAGAGACATAGTTTTTCTTTAACAAAAGAATATTTATTCTTCTCTTCTGAGAATTTTCCCTTAGAATTTTTTTGGAAAAAAACTTTGTGCTCAAGAGATTTAATAAGTAGAGCAGTGTTCTAGATCCTATAAAATATTTATTTTAGATTTTTTTTCCATTTATTAAAATAATAACTACAATCCTATACCAGTGCCAAATCCAGATCTATTTTTAAAATGAATATGAAATGCAGCGCATCCTATTTAATTTATTCTGAAGCACATAAATTTTGAAAATTTAGCAATTTGTTTTATTGCTTAAAAAAATGCTTTTAGTTTTATTTAAAATAGTGAAAGTACTACTTGTATCTGAACTATGACAAGAGATACGACTCGGTTAAGTCTTTTCTCCCATTAAACTTCAAAGCGATGCTAAAGTTTTGAATACTTTGTTTACGATTGGTTTTATTTTCGATATTTTAGCAATATGTATTAAAATGACATCCTTAAGAGCTTTTAGTCATGCATAAGTAAATTTTATTTAAACTTAAATGTGTCTCCAGGGAATGAAAAAACTCATTTATCAGGCATAAATGTTTTAAAAATAATGAAAATAGTATGTCATTTTGTCTTAAAAATAGCTGATTGCAAAAAGAAGCTAATTAACATTAAAGCATTATGTTTTCAGTGGTATCAAAATGTAAAAAGATATAAAATTTAAAAATTAAATTTTGTGTAAAGTATTTCAAAAGGTTTATGATTAAAATTTGTATACATTGCAAAAGATAAAATCACAAAAAAGCAAAGAAATTCGTAATTTTTAAAAACGATTTAACAGTGTGCTTCTGACTATATTTATGTTTATATAATTGTGTTATTAGCCATGCAATAAACAACAAATTAACTAATTTATTTGAAGCCTTGAATACTAAACCAAAATGACAAAGAGAACTTCGATTTTAATTTTCTTCATCAGTACCTCTGAAACACGCCTATTCATCATGGATTGCTTCATTATCTTTAATTAATTAAGTGCAAATTATTCTTTACACGTCTGAGAACGTCGTCACAATTTTTTTTTTTAAATTAGTAAATTATTCAGTGCAATAAATCCCGAAGGATTTTGGTAGAAAATTTTAACATGATACTCGTTTAATTCTAATACGCGAGTTTTGCACTGAGTTTGCATTATCTTTTCTTTTTTTTTAAATTAAGCTCCAGAAATTCATAATTTTTTTGAGAAATTCTTATTTGCACAAAAATAATAGCCATATTGATTGAATAAAGGTTAAACGTTTGAGTTTTTTTCACCTTCAAGAAAAGAAAGTGTTTTGAAGATGTTTTTAATATGATAGCGTAGAATCACTCGATTTCTGTTGGAAATATAATGATTTGTGGCCAGTATTAAAAAAAGACAAAAAGAATGGTGATGAATCTTTAAACAACGAATACAAAGATGTTTTTTTTTAAAAAAAGACTTGGCACTTTGTTATAATTTTAGAGAAGTAAGAAATATTTTGTTAAAAACAAAATGCTTATTTTAAAGTTTCCTGGT